AGGCCAGTGCCTGGCACATGGTAGATTCTCAGTAAATGTTAGCAAGTATTGTTGCCCCAGTGTCAATTCTTTGAGGACTTTCTTTCAGGGAAAATATTAATGATGCATTATTTCTTGCTTTGCAAGATGTGAAGTTATTGACTTATCGCTGCTGGGCTTGGCATGTCGAGCCCTGTTGCTGTTTATTAATGTGATGAGGTTACTTGTGGTGAGGGAGGGTCCCCACTGCGCAGTAGCAGTAATTAGTGTTTCTGTGAGGCTGCAGGAACTGACTGCTAGCAAATGCTGGTTTCTTTTTCTCTCTTTTTTTTTTTTTAAAAAAAGAAAAAATCCCATTACATAATTTAACAATCATTTTGTTCCATAGTGAGCTGAAAAGAACTTAGCAGCCTTCAGCTGGAGCTGAATGGAGAAGCAAATTCTAGAAATCACTGACATTAGTGCCTGGCTAGAGCAGGATTGTCTCCTACTGAATATCTGAAAGTATTCTGTCCAATCTAATTTTGAAAGACTGGAGTCAGTGGGCTTCCACTGCTTTCCTTGGGAACTGTAATTACGTGGCCTAATAGAGCTCAACGCTGGGCATTTTCTCCAGCGGATGCACTTGTAGGAGGTATGGTCACTTGCTTTTCAAAATGGGATTTGGAAAAGGAACACAAACATGTTTTGCTCACTTGAGAAAATGTTCTTCTGTCTCTCCCCAAGGAGAAGAGAAGTTTCTTTGTTTCTTTGGTCCATCCTGCTGCTGTTGAAACACAATTTACATAAATAGAATTTTCTTTAACTTTGTATTTATAGAGAATCCCCCAAATACACAAAAGTGGACAAAACAGTATAATGTGCCCCAAACTAGCCCCAACAATCGTCAACCAATTATCAATCCTGCCCCATCTATACACCCATCTACTTCCTCCCTTCTGTTATCTTGAAACAAATTTCATCATCTTTTTTTAAAAAAGAAGAAGTCTGGTAAAATACATATAGCGTGAAATTTGCCATTTTAATAATTTTAAAGTGTATAACAATGGAATTAAGTACACAATGTTGTGCAGCCATCACCCCTGTCTAGTTCCAAAACTTTCTTATCACCCCAGAAAGAAACTCTCTACCCCTTAAGCTGCAGCTCCCATTCTTTCCTCCCCCTGAAAAACCACTAATCTGCTTTCATTCTCTGCGGATTTGCCAATTCTGGATATTTCATGTAAGTGGATTCATACAGCGTATAGCTTTCTTCTTCTGGCTTCTTTCAGTTATTAATATCATGATGTTTTCAAGATTCATCCACACTGTATCATGCATCAGTACTTCATTCCTTTTCATATCCAAATAACACTCTATTGTATGGATATACTACATTTTATTTATTCATCTGTGATGATGGACAGTTTGGTTATTTCCACGTTTTGTATATTGTGAACAGTGCTGCTTTGAGCATTCATATGCAAGTTTTTGTTTAAACACATGTTTTCAATTTTGAGGGGTAGGTATATACCTAGAAGTGAAATTGCTAGGTCTTATGCTATTTCTTTTATATATATATATATAGTATTTCTAACTTACTGAGGAACCATCTAACTGTTTGCCACAGCTTACATTCTCTCCAACCATGTAGGAGAGTTCTAATTTCTTCACATTCTTGCCAACACATTATTTTCTGTTATACTTTTTTTTTCTGTTTAAATTATAGTCATCCTAAAGGGTGTGAAGTAGTATCTCATTGTGGTTTTGACTTGCATTTTCCTAAAGATTGTTGACGTTGAGCATCTTTTCATATGATTGTTAGTCATTTGTATATCTTCTTTGGAGAAATGCCTGTTCAGGTGTTTAACCCCTTTTTCAATTATGTTGTTTATATTTTTCTTGTTGAGTTGTAAGTGTTCTTTATATATTCTGGATACTAGACCCTTATTAGATATGTGATTTGCACATGTTTTGTCCATTCTATGAGTTGTCATTTCACCCTCTTGATAGTGTCTTTTGATGCACAAAATTAAAATTGTCAATGAAATCCAATTTCTCTCCTTTTATTTATTTTTGTTGTTGTTGTTGTTTGTGCTTTTAGTGTCAAAGTTAAGAAACCATTGCCTAGTCCATGGTGGTGAAAATTTACCCCATGTTCTCTCCTAAGAGTTTTACAGTTCTAGTTCTTATATTTACATCGTTGATCATTCCAAGATAATTTTTATATGTGATATGAGGTAAGGATTCAACATTATTCTTTTACATGTGGATATCCAGTTGACCCAGCCTCATTTGTAGAAGAGACTATCATCATATCATTTTATCCTTAGTATTGATACTTCAGTATGCTTCTCTAAAATATAATTATTTTTCACATAACCACAATACTATCATCATCCTTAAAAAACGTCAACCACATTTCCTTGATGTCAGCAAATATCTAGACTCTAGATTGTTCTAAAAATTTTCAACAGCTTTTTAAAAAGAAAATTCGTGTCCAGATAAGTTGCATTCATTGCAATTTGTTGGTAGACCTTTTTAAATGTTATTAAACCTACAGATTTCCCTTCCATCTCTTCTTCTTTCATTATATATATTTGTTGAAGCAAATGAGCCATTTACCCTTTGGAGTTTTTTATCCTAGATTTTGTTGATTGTATCCCCATCATGTAACATGTTTGTTCCTCAGTCCTCTTAATTTCCTGTAAATTGGTAACTGGAACTAGATGCTTGATCAGATTTAGTTTGGGCTTTTTTTGTTTTGCTTTGTTTTAGGCACCATTACTCCTTAGGTGATGTTGTGTTACTCTAATCAAGAGATAAATCTTAGCTGGTTATTTTCTTTTTATCTTAGCAGCCATTGGTGCTTAAATCCACTAATTTATCAGAGGTTGTAAAATAGTGATATTCTAATTCCATTATGTCCTTTTCATTTATCAGATGAAATACTGTTTTTGTGAAGAGAAGTTTTAGCTCTTTTATTATGTAATCATGGTGGTAAAACTTGTAAAAGAAAGGCAGTGTAAATTCTTGATTTTTTCCTTTTATTTACCAGTTTCAATATAAGAAATTGGTTTTTCAGTTTCTTCAAACAGTGCCAATTACATTCTTTTTGAGGGCATGTTTTTATTAATGCATTTACTTAAGCATATTCAGTGTGTTTCAAGACTTTGCAGTTATTATTCTTTTTTAAAATTTATTTATTTTAATTGGAGGCTAATTACTTTACAACATTGAGTTACACTGACATGAGTCACCCATGGGTGTACATGTGTCCCCCATCCTGAACCCTCCTCCCACCTCCCTCCCCATCCCATCCCTCTGGGTCATCCCCAGTGCACCAGCCCTGAGCACCCTGTCTCATGCATCCAACCTGGACTGTCGCTANTTAGCCATCTGTATGTCTTCTTTGGAGAAATGTCTGTTTCGTTCTTTGGCCCATTTTTTGAGTGGGTCGTTTATTTTTCTGGAATTGAGCTGTATGATTAATTCTTTGTCAGTTGCTTCTGATTCTCAGATTACCCCATTTTGGCCAGTGAGACCTCTTATAGTTGACTCTTTGATCCTTTCTAGCATGATCTTATAGTCTTTGATGGCTTCCTGGCTCTCATATATAATAATTTTACAGCTTTTTTGGGGGGCTGAAGCATGCTCTTTTGTGGCACTTTTCAAATTTCTTTACAAGAGCCCCTGATCGATCTGTGTACTTTCATCAGCTCTCTGGAGAAGAGTGGAGAGTTTTGTTACACTTTATAAAATCATAAGAAGACAAATCAGAATGACATTGGAAACTCATTCAGAAAACTAATTTTATGAGTTTTTAAAATAATTTTTTGCGTTTCACCTGGGCATTCAGAAAAAAAAGAGAACATTATTTCTGCCCAAAGATTTTTGCAGTCTGGTGGGTTATCTTTTAGGACCTGGTAACATGGTGCTGATGTTAGGAATGCACATTTGGACAAAGCCAAAACCATCAGTGTGATTTCATTATGTCTCTAGTTTAGTTCTGTTTCTAGCATCAAGTCAGAGACTTATTGCTACTCATCCTAAACTATTTTCTTATAATTATGTTTAAAAGTACCTAATAAGATGACTTTTGCTGAAGACTTTTGAAGAAGAGGGAGAATGTATGGAAATGGATGTGTTTTTCTAAATCTAGAAAATGAACGTAAAAGCAGATGGATTCCTTTTTTTCTTCTAGTCTGTACTTCTCCATTAAGTAAGGGAGATGTTTATTTTCTGCCTATTTTATAAAGTTGCTGAGTACTGTAATGAGTCTATATTTATAGAGAACTTGGAGCTTTCTGGATGAAAGGTGCTAAATTAGGGCTTATTGTTTAGTGAATTTATCTGATATGTCCAGCCTCCTGGGAATATTTGCTGAAGTTAATTAAAAGCAGATCGTCCTCACTCTGACAGCTTACAGTGCCACTTACAAACCAATAGCATAAACAATGTGCACTTCTATTGTTCTGGCTTGGGATTGCCTAGACAACCACAGCTCTTTCAGAGAGGGGGATGAGCCTACTTTTGTAGGAAAGATGAGCTTGACCACTAAATAAAACCACAAGGTTAGTCTCAATTCCATCTGAACCACCTAGCTGCCCTCATTTAAAACACAGAATATGGAGATTCTCCTCAATTTCCAGTTTGGAAAATTAAAAATAATCTTTCCAGGACTTCCCTGGTGATCCAGTGGTTAAGACGTTACCTTCCAATGCAGGGGATGAGGGTTCAATCCCTGGTCAGGGAGCTAAGATCCCACATGTCTCAAAGCCAAACAAATAAAGCATTAAAAAAAGAAGCAATATTTGTAACAAAATTCAGTAAAAACTCTAAAAATGGTCCACATTAAAAAAAAAATCTATCATTTGGGGAAAAAATAAAGATAAAAATTTGTTTTATTTGTCATTTTATGATCACTTTTTCTTTGCAGGAATGGTATTCCAAAGCAACCGACTAGATACCTTATGCTTTCTTAACACAGTGGAAGTCTTGAAGTGTAATTATAATAATGGCCTCTTTGCTTCCTTTCCCAGTTGGTGATGGAGTTTTGTGGTGCAGGCTCTGTCACTGACCTGATCAAGAACACAAAAGGTAACACGTTGAAGGAGGAGTGGATTGCATACATCTGCAGGGAGATCTTACGAGTAAGTGACAACATGGGATACCTTGGGAGGTGTTGAGCTTCACACTGACCTTCCGCTAACTCACTCCGTAATTCTTATCAGAAACCTCCTTAGAGCTTTATTCTAACAGTGATGGTGGCAGTGGTATGTGTTGTGGTCTGCTGTGACGAAGGGAGAGCCATTCTGAATAGGCTTCACAGGTGTCTCAGTGGTAAAGAATCTGCCTGACAATGCAGCAGACACAGGTTCGATCCCTGGGTCAGGAAGATCGCCTGGAGGAAAATATGCCAACCCACTTCAGTATTGTTACTGGGAGAATCCCATGGACAGAGGAGCCTAGCAGGCTACAGTCCATAGGGTCGCAAAGAGTCACATACAGCTGAGCACATACACAACAAAAAAACTGAATAGGCATGTGCACTCTCATTTGAAGGGTTAGTTGGGTGATTTCCCTTAACCTGGGATTCATTTCCTATGGAGTTTCCGATTGGAAATCTGATTTTAGATCGCAGAGATAGTTTTCCACTTAGGAGATGGATTGTTTAAGGATATTTTGGTCGCTTGTTTGAGTTTTCAACTTGTGAAAGTCTATAACTAATTTAAGGCTTCTATGACGTTAGCCATCTTAGTACATAAAACCTATTTTAACTGATTTTACCTTAAAAAGTTTCCTTGAGACAATCTCTAAAATCAGTCAAAACAGTTGGGCAAGAATGTGCCCATCTGCCCAGTTTTGCCCATAAATTCCAGAGTCAGGCAGTCTGGACAGCAGTGTCATATTTGCTGAGTTCACTTCGGGAAGAAGATAACTGGTCATATTTTAGTTTGTTTGGATCAGTTTAATTATCTCTTGCTGTTAATAAGGACGCTACTGTATGTCCGCTGAACATTCCTATACTAGATCTGCTTGACATTTATTTATTTGTTCTGCCTTCTTAATATAAGGGAACAAAACATAAAACTATTTCATAAATTAGAATGCTTGATGTTGTAATGATGTTATTTCTTCCCAGTCTGATCCTTGGTACCATAAACTGCCTATTCAAATCCTTCTAGATACACTTGTGGATATACAGGCTGATTTTTAAAACATTATATGAAATAACAAAAGGCCAGGAATAATCAAGGCAATTTTGAGGAACAAAGGTGAAAAATGTATGCTGCCAGTTTTCAGGACTTCTTATAAAGTTGCTAAGTAGTTAAGACAAGGTGGTATTGTCATAAGAATAGACAAACGGCCAAGGAAATATGACGGAGAGTCCATGAACAGACCCACTTCTTCTGGTCACCTGATTTACAACCAGAGCAGTGCTACAATGCATGGGGAAAATACAGAAAATTATAAATAAAAAATAACAACACTTGGGTATCCATTACCTTGAATTAGAAAGCATTGATATAATATGACTTGCTTCAGTATGCCAATTTTAGATTCTTTTAAGTTACAGTGTATCTGAGAAACCACCTTAGAACAAGTCTTTTTTTAGAACTCATACCACATAAAAGCCAAAGTCAGGATAATTCGTGGAAAAATGGAACACAATGAGGTTGAGGTGTCACTGAATAATTATTTCACATAATGAGCACAAAGTCACAAATATCATAAAGCACTAAAAATGACAGTGGTGAACATTAACAAAGGAAGTAAAAATTGCTGTTTTCCTTTTTTTCAATGTGAGACATTGGTTAAAGCTAATGGGAAATTTCTTGGCTGGTCTGAGTAATACTGTGCTTAATTAAAATTACATAATAGAAGATAACTTTTAAACTTTTAAATTCAAAAATTGCCTCCAAAAGTGGGGACTTCTGTTAAATCAGTTTTCTGTAGAAACGCTAGATGTTCCATGTACCAGCTGGTGAATACAGGTGGTCCTGACTTTTCAGAGTGCTGTTAGCTGAAACATGTGCGTGTTGGAACCAGCCATATCATGGCTTGTGTGGTTCCTTGTTACCCGAGATCAAAGTTGATATGCAAATGTTTCATTTAGCACAGTACCGAGCATTGTGAGGACTGCCTGTATATTTCCTCATACTGATCAGTTGCTTGCAGTTTAGAATAAATGAACATTGTGCTACATTTGAATTATGACCACATGAAAGATATGAATACAATAATGAAAGAATCTCTGGGTAAGTTTAAATTTTTTGGATTATTAACATCCAAAATATTTTTTTTTTTGCATCTGGATTTATATTCCTATTAACCCTTCCCAACTCTCCATCACACCAGGGGCTGAGTCACCTGCACCAGCATAAAGTGATTCATCGAGATATTAAAGGGCAAAATGTCTTGCTGACTGAAAATGCAGAAGTTAAACTAGGTAAGAACAGAATCCAGTGAGCCTAGGAATTACAGGAATTGGTAGGATTGTTTCACCTGTTTTCCTTTTTAAAATAATGAATGTAAATGTGTCACTGTGTATTTGGAGGGCATTGTACCTAGAATGGAAAGAAACATGTTTCTTCTCCTCTTTAAAAAACATTTTTTAAAAGCCCTTTTAGGAGTGAACTGGTATACAGTATTATAAGCAGAACCGTGTACTAAATCAATGTATAGAAATAATTGAGCTTATTTTTTAAGCAAAGAGCCTTTAGATTAGATGTGGCTGACCTTGAAATGGTTTCCTATATTTTATAGTTTATGTTGTTGCTGCTATAACAGAACAATGATGAAATATTTTTTAATTGAAAATATCCACACACATTTAGAGTAATGAATTTCCTGCTATATTCCCCTATATTTTAAGTGCCATTTACATCGATTTCATTATTACCTAGGACACCTGTACAAAATGGATGCTTGATATTCTGCTTTACACACATATTGATTATCCCACTTCCATCTGCCAAAGTTGTCAGTGAGGGAATCCTTTTCTCTGGTCCTTTCCATTAGAGCCCTTCCCACAAAAAATCTGGGATTTTCCAGATAAGGTAGAGAATACCCACATGCATTTGACTGCTTGATGTATATAAGTAAGAGCATACATTGACAGATATCCTGTAAGATATGCAATTTGTCTTCTAGAAATGAATCACTGTCCATATGAATGTTTCTTTTCAAAGAGATTTAAATATCTCCTATGTTTATATCCCAAACATTCACTCTTGCCTTTTTGTTAAAATATATAATTTCCATTTTTTTTTTCTTAGTTAAAATTTGGGGCCAAGCTTTCATCTCATGAATATTCCCTTTTAAAACAAAAGCATGCATTAGGTCGGGAAAACAGTTATATATGTACTGACTACATAAGCTATCCTCAGAATGTTCACTCATCACTATTAACAGTTACTTGTGAGAGACTATTATGTTCCAGATCATGTACAAAATGTTTGAAGATAGATGATTTCACTTAAACATTATAGCAGCTCCACGTGACTTTCAGCATCCTCATTTTATGGATTAAGAAAATGAAGCTCCAGGAGATTTATCTACTAGGTCACATACAAATAAGTGTCAGAAATGAGATGCAAATTTAGGCAGTCTGACTCCAGAAACTTAGCTGATTACCACTTTTTTTCTTTGCATCCTCTAAATACTCTCTTTTATGGTCCAAGCTTGCCTTTTATTTAACACCTATTTTTTGTCTTCCATGGAGTCCTGATATAACCAGATATAACTCCTTGTGCTTTTCTCATTGGTGCACTTTATCCATTTATATTAATAGATGCAGTTTAAACATATACATTCACTAGAGATTATCATGGGCTTCCCTGGTGGCTCAGATGGTAAAGAATCTGCCTGCAATGCGGGAGACCTGGGTCATATAGTTTATGTTGTTGCTGCTATAACAGAACAATGATGAAATATTTTTTAATTGAAAATATCCACACACATTTAGAGTAATGAATTTCCTGCTATATTCCCCTATATTTTAAGTGCCATTTACATCGATTTCATTATTACCTAGGACACCTGTACAAAATGGATGCTTGATATTCTGCTTTACACACGTATTGATTATCCCACTTCCATCTGCCAAAGTTGTCAGTGAGGGAATCCTTTTCTCTGGTCCTTTCCATTAGAGCCCTTCCCACAAAAAATCTGGGATTTTCCAGATAAGGTAGAGAATACCCACATGCATTTGACTGCTTGATGTATATAAGTAAGAGCATACATTGACAGATATTCTGTAAGATATGCAATTTGTCTTCTAGAAATGAATCACTGTCCATATGAATGTTTCTTTTCAAAGAGATTTAAATATCTCCTATGTTTATATCCCAAACATTCGCTCTTGCCTTTTTGTTAAAATATATAATTTCCATTTTTTTTTTCTTAGTTAAAATTTGGGGCCAAGCTTTCATCTCATGAATATTCCCTTTTAAAACAAAAGCATGCATTAGGTCGGGAAAACAGTTATATATGTACTGACTACATAAGCTATCCTCAGAATGTTCACTCATCACTATTAACAGTTACTTGTGAGAGACTATTATGTTCCAGATCATGTACAAAATGTTTGAAGATAGATGGTTTCACTTAAACATTATAGCAGCTCCACGTGACTTTCAGCATCCTCATTTTATGGATTAAGAAAATGAAGCTCCAGGAGATTTATCTACTAGGTCACATACAAATAAGTGTCAGAAATGAGATGCAAATTTAGGCAGTCTGACTCCGGAAACTTAGCTGATTACCACTTTTTTTCTTTGCATCCTCTAAATACTCTCTTTTATGGTCCAAGCTTGCCTTTTATTTAACACCTATTTTTTGTCTTCCATGGAGTCCTGATATAACCAGATATAACTCCTTGTGCTTTTCTCATTGGTGCACTTTATCCATTTATATTAATAGATGCAGTTTAAACATATACATTCACTAGAGATTATCATGGGCTTCCCTGGTGGCTCAGATGGTAAAGAATCTGCCTGCAATGCGGGAGACCTGGGTCGGGAAGATCCCCTGGAGAAGACCATGGCTATCCATCCCAGTATTCTTGCCTGAAGAATTCCGTAGACAGAGGAGCCTGGCAGGCTACAGTCCTTGGAGTCACAAAAAGTCAGACACAATAGAGCAACTAGCGCGCACACACACACACACACACACACACACAGATTATCCTACTAAATTAAGTAAGTCAGACAGATATCATATGATATCACTTAGGTGTGGAATCTGAAAAAAAATGATGCAAATAAACTTATTTACAAAACAAATAGACTCACAGACATGGAAAATAAACATGGTTATCAAAAGGAAAAGGTGGGGGAGGGATAAATTAGGAGCTTGGGATTAGTATGTGCACACTGCTATATACAAAATAGATAATCAACAAGAACCTACTATATAACACAGGGAACTCCACTCAATACTCTGTAATAACCTATACAGGAAAAGAATCTGAAAAAGAGTAGATCGATGTATCTGTATAACTGAATCACTCTGCTATACACCTGAAACTAACAGAACATTGTAAATCAACTATACTCCAATCTAAAATAATTGAATATATATATTTAATTTAGCTGCTGTCACAGTAGTAAAAAGGACGAAGCATCCTGAGTGCCCTCAACAGATGAATGGGTAAACAAAATGTGGCACCTACAGACAATGGAATAATATTCAGTCTTAAAAAGGGAGGACATTCTAATGCATGCTGCAAAATGCATTAACCTTTGAGGACATTACATTAAGTAAAATAGGTTAGTCTCTAAAAGACTAATACCGCATGATTCCACTTATATGAGGTATCTATCTGTAGTAGACAGATTCATAGAGACATAAAGTAGAATGGTGCTTTCAAGGCACCTGGGACAGGAGGGAGAAAGAGGAGTTAGTGTTAATGGTTCAGCTGAGGAAGATGAAAAAGTTCTGGAGTTGGATGGTGGTTATGGTTGCACCGGAAACTGAATATACTTAATACCACAACACTGTCCACTATGAAGTGGTTAAAATGGTAATTTTATGTTGTATATTTTACCACAATAAAAAAAATACTCATTCATTTTATCACTGTATAAGACCTTAGGCCACAGACTGTTCATTTGTCTCCCCTTAACTAGTGGACTTTGGAGTCAGTGCGCAGCTTGATCGAACAGTGGGCAGGAGGAATACCTTCATCGGAACACCCTATTGGATGGCTCCAGAAGTTATCGCCTGTGATGAAAACCCAGATGCCACGTATGATTTCAAGGTATGTCTTCTTACTTCTTCATTAAGTTTCCAGGCATGCCTAAACATCTCACCCTGAGACTTGTAGAGAATTTGCTCATGGCTTTGGGCTTGTGATTTGTGTAATCCAAAGGGAAAACTAAAAGACATTTCTTGAGTGACATTATGACATTATGACATTCAAGTGAGAATCTTTTTAACAAACTCACCCATCATATCTCATTGCCTATTTGTTAAAAAAAAAAAGCATATATATACATATATATATGTATATATATATATATATATGTATATATATATTTAAACCATTTTCTACATTCTTTTAACCTTCTCTTGCTTCTTACTAGAAAATAGATTTCTATTTTGGTTGTAGTTTAGATTTTTGGCAAAGCATATGTATTCTGAGAGCTTTTTATGTTAAAAGAAACCAAGACATGAGTTCATTTTCTTAGGTCATCTTTTTCTGGTTAAAAATAATTATATTTAGTCATTTCTACATAGTTCAAAGTTTAATTATTAGAGTTTCTTTTCAAAATGAGAGAGAATCAGATGGGATGTTGGTAGCTACTTAACAGTGTTTTTATAGCCTATTGCCATGTTTGATAGAAATTTGATTTGTGGCTTGCTATTTTGTATCATCAACTGGAAAATTGCTAGTAACTCAAAGCAGTGTTTAAGTGGAGAGGTGGAAGGTTTCTCCTTCTCCAAGAAGGCCTCCTCTTTTCCACAGGTGCATGGACTTTTCACCAAAGGACTTTAATGATTACTTTGAAATACCCTCATCTTACAGATGTGGGAACTGCACAATGCATACCCAGTTAGTGGTCTTCTCACAGACTTGGCCCCCATATCTCCAAGCTCTATGTTCAGAGTTTTTCCTAAATATTACCATGTTTCTCTATGATGCACTCCTACATAAATATATATAGGAGTATAAATATCCAATATATAAAATATAAATGTCCAATTTACCAACAAAACAGCCTCTGAAGAGTATATTTGAAGAATTCCTCTATTAAAGAACATTTTTAGTTCTCCACATATGGTGTTATTATTGAAATCAGGTCACAAAGATGCAAACATTGCAATGTCTTTGGGACCCAGTGTCTCAGGGCACTGACAAAATTATTTGCCTCTTTGGAGAAATGCAAGTTTGAAGGTCTAAAAACAAAATAATCTTCTGTAAATTTCCTCCTTCTTTCACAGTTAGTCACTATAATAACCTGACAACAATCTGTCTGAACACAGCTGCCAAGTTAAAAATTAATCTCTTGCCAAAATAAATGTCATTTATTTAAACTGTTAATGATAAGCACATTTAAATAATTTAATTTGCAAATCCCTTCACAGGAACCACTGCAAAATATATGTCCCAGACCAGATATGTGTACCATGATTGACTATAAGCAATTCTTCAACCTATAGTTATACTTAACAAGTGCTAACTGGTCTATATCTTGGCCACAGATATTTTTAATTGCTTTATAGCATACCATAGAGAATCAGAGTGTTTCAAACATTTAACCTCATTTTAGCCTGTAAGTATTTCGTCTGCCTATAATATATATGGGACTTTTGTTCTATGGCATAAGATAGATCCCTGTGACTTAGCTATTTTCTAGAAGAGGGCTCCTGTGATCAAGCCAAAGCTTGGAATTAAACTGATATCTTGAATCTCTTTCTTCAGTCTGTGGTTTATAGTGAGCTTAAGGAATATAGCTTGGAGTCGATGAAAAATTTTTGAGCCTAATGCATAATCCTAGTGTGAACAAAGCCTGATGTATAACTGTAGGTGTGGACAAAGCCTGATACATAACCACAGGTGTGGACAAAGCCTGATGCATAACCCTAGGTGTGGACACAACCTGATGTATGAATAACCACAGGGAGCATTGTGCTGCACTGGGAGGTTTCAGAGGTGCTGGAAGGTCCTGAGACATTAGGAAATCAAAGATTAATTTCTCTGTCTTTTATTAAAAAATAAAGGATTGTGACGAGAGAACAAATTCAACCAATCAGCCTTTTTAGACCTTCAGTGCAACTTACTTTGTTTGGATTGTCATAAACATAGGTTGTATAAGAGGAGGAAGAATGTGAGCTTCGCTGGCCACTTGTCATGAGTGAAAGAAGGAGCCCAACAAAAGGGTGGATTAGGAAGACCAAGCAGAAAGGAAGATTTGGGGGTTCTTTGAAGATTCGTTCCAACCACTTTGCAGTTTTACTGTGGATCAGAGAAGAAGCTATACTTTAAATAATCTTTCTACTTCTTTCTCAGCATCAGATCTTATCCTTTTTTTTCTGTTCCCTATTCTTAGGAACGTGAGCTGTCACCAGGAGACAGCGCAACAATACATTGACTTTCAAAACCATTTATTCATTCACTCAATGTGTATTTGTTGAATACTCACTATGCAAAAGGATTTAGCCAAGCTCTACATGTATATGCAGTTTTTTACTAGAAAGTCCATTTGCGACCTTATCAGAGTTCAGTGGTTTGTTGCTGTGTTTGGTTGTCCATTTGACCCAGTGTGTATCCTAGCTTCAGAGACTGACCTTAGCACTTCAGTCTCTCTCCCGTGCTGTAGACACTTTCAGCCTAGAGGGCATGTTTAGAATAAAAGATGAGTTGAAGGCCACTGGGCTTTGTCGGGTTTTCTTTCACAAAAGCCCTTTCTTTAAAATAAAGACAAAATGCAAAGGAGTATAGTTTGGTTTTATATTTATTTCTTTTTTTAAAGATTTGTTTAATTTACTTTTGGCTGTACTGTGTCTTCATTGCTATGCGGTCTTTTCTCCAGTTGCAACAAGCAGGGGCTGGTCCCTAGTGGTGCACAGGCTTCTCCTTGAGGTGGCTTCTCTTGTTGCGAAGCGTGGGTTCCAGGGCCCTCCACTTCAGTAGTTGCAGCTCCTGGGCTCTAGAGCACAGACTCAATAGTTGAGGTGCACAGGCTTATCTGTTCTCCAACAAGTGGGATCATCCCGGGGCAGGGATTGAACCTGTGTTTCCTGCATTGTCAGGCAGATTCTTTACCATTGAACCACCAGGGAAGCCCCTGAGTATTATTTTATTTGCCTAATGTCTTTAGAAACTGCTGTTGTTATTTTTTTTTTAACTACAGCAGTTCAATAAAATAGGAGCTTCTATATAAGAAAATAGGCTGAAGAGCCCATGGCTTTTATTGCAGTCTGGTTTTGTCTGATATCTGCCGGGCACAGTAAGCCACCGGCTGAAAATAACCCCTATCCTAAGGAGGAGCGCCAGAATCTCATTTGCCTGGTGTTTTCACTTTCCCCTAGAGCCCTTCCTTTCTTGTTTTCAGAAAATCTGTCAAAACACTTCAAGCAAAAGGCAAGGTTTCATTTTCCTGATAAGTAATGTAGGGCAATAATGAAAGCTTTCTCATTTAATAATAAGCATTCAAAAGACTTGGAATTAATAAAACTGTTCAAAATTCCTTGGCTGTTTAAATTGTTATTTTTTTTAACTTGAATTTCATTTCAGTTAGATGGGATTTGCTGAGTGTTTTATAGTCCTATGTATTTGTTGCTTTAACTTCCTTCTCACTAACGGAAGTTCTCTGTGGGCAAGAGCCCAATCGATAGTTGAATAAAGACAGGCGCAGCTGTCCACAGGAATGCCACACAGCCATCTGAACGCTGAGATAGTGTGTATGTTGAAGTTGGGCAGATTCCAAAATACAGTGTGAGGCCCACAAAGCAACTTACAATACACATCATAGAGTCTTGTTTGCCCCTACCCGATGGATGAATGCCATGTGGATGGAGAACTTAAACTTCTGTTTTCTAACTTTTTATATTGAAGTATAACTGATTCACAGTGTTGTGATAGTTTCAGGTGGACGACAAAGGGACTCAGCCATACATATACATGTATCTGTTCTCTCCCAAGACTCCCCTCCTATCCAGCATGCCATTTAACATTGAGCAGAGTTAAGTACTGGGTGTTCATTGGAAGGACTGATGCTGAAGCTGAAACTCCAATACTTTGGCCACCTCATGCGAAGAGTTGACTCATTGGAAAAGACCCTGATGCTGGGAGGGATTGGGGGCAGGAAGAGAAGGGGACGACAGAGGATGAGATGGCTGGATGACATCACCAACTCGATGGGCATGAGTTTGAGTAAACTCCGGGAGTTTGTGATGGACAGGGAGGCCTGGCGTGCTGCGATTCATGGGGTCGCAAAGAGTCGGACACGACTGAGCGAATGAACTGAACTGAGAGTTCCCTGTGCTACACAGTAGGTCCTTGCTGGTTATTCATTATAAACAGAGCAGAATGTACATCTTAAACTTTTTATTTTATATACCTTCCTGTAACTGTTCTAGTTTTTTAAACCATAAACTGGTCATGCATTTATAGTAGCTTAGTCAAGTAAGAGAAGTATGGTGAAATGGTATATCCCCTCAACCCCACCGCCCATCCACTGGCCTGATCTGTGCTAATGTCGTCTCTTATGCACCTAAACTCTGAGACTTTGCACACAGGTGCTGTAGACCATTTAAAGACATAGATGTCTCCTGCAGGGTTTGGGTGAGTATTGTGCTCTGGCTGTTGAGCACGTACTCATTCTCCCGTGTTACAGATAATTGGCTTTATTCAGACGGAATGAAAAGCACCCCTGAAGGTAGGAGTCTCAGCTGGAGAGAAAGGGAGCACTTGCCCAGTCAGGGAGCATCACCAAGGTGTGTGCGATGTGCTTCATAATAGGATGATCTTCACATTGCAGAGTGAGGTTTGCCTCTCACGTGAGGCCTGACCTCTGTCTACTGAAGTTTCAACAAAGCTCCCATCCCCATGTGGCAAGAAGACAGGATGATACAGACACCAATGTTACTGTTACTGGCAGAGACAAACTTCTATTCAACATATTCCTCGTGCTCCATGTTCACACCCACTTGTATAGGACTTTTTAGTCAGACATACTGCCCCCTCAACCAGGCTCTCAGTTGATCCCCAGGTGAAGAAAATAACCTGTTTTTCCAATATTTTCTCTGTGGTCA